AGCACTTGGGTACGGCATGTCAGTTTTGAACACAATTTTTATTGCTATCACCTACTTACAGCTGAAAAGAAAATCTCTGGCCTCTTCTACGCTCATCCTCTCATCGACTCTTTGTCAAACTATCACCAAAGCCGCTGCTTTAAGTCAACAACAACAAAAAAACCCAAACATTCAATGCAAGAGACAACAACAGTGTTGGGCATTTCTGAAGTGTTTCAAAACCTGAAGTCTCTCTCTCCATCAAGCCAAGTATATCAGCATTAATCGCTGGTTTCCTTGTAAATGTAGTGTCACTTTACAATTAGCAGTGCTTACATGAATTTTGTTCCATCTCCCATTTGTGAAGGAGTTCCTTAACTTTGAGAACAGAAACAAAAAATTCTTCTGGAACTCAGATATGTAATGCATTTTACAGCACTCTATAGACTTCAGTCAATTCTTAAGCGCTTAAGCACTCGCTTTATAACACCGCGTAAAGGTTCTTCCTGACAGAAGCTACAGATATAGACCTATTAACGTCTCCAGAGGATTCTCTTCTAGAAACAGTGTGTCCAGGACAACTTTATGATTTCAGTTGAAGTCATAAAGAGAAGCCTAAATAACCTGTACTTCTTAAATACAAATTAAATGAAGTTGGCTATAATAAATACATAAAAGTAGTTGAATTACTTGTACACACTGTACAAAAAGACAGCTCTGAACTGCTGCCAGAAATTAGCCAAGAACAGATTCTTACATTGAACGTGTCACTTCAATAGTTTTGCAGTGAATAAAAAGAAAAGAAAAAATCACTTCATTTGCTCAGAAGACAGAGGGAAAAGGAAGCTAAGCAGTTGCACTTACAGGAGAACAACAACTACAGAAGAAGTTCTGTCAAATAAGCAGCAACTCAAGGCTTTTCCTCTACAGCCCTGGAACTACCCCAGCTGCTGTTAAACCCTGGAAAAGTGGCCAAGTCCTGCCGTCCTGCCGCTTGTGCAGGTCTGTTTTGCATGTTTGCTCTGCTGCCTTTATGTTCTCCCACAGGTTATTTGAGTGTTTACTACAAATAAGCACAGGCAGAGCCAGTTCTCTTTCAGAGCTGTCTTAAACCCAGCCTGCCGCCGTCCCCGGCCGGGCGCTTTGCACGCAGTACATGCTGTGCTAGTAAAACGCTTATCCGTGCAGCTATTCGGCTGTCTGGTGCAGCAGCCACCATTGGCTCGTTCCCTTCTGTTTTAGCTACCAAGAGCCAGCGATGTGATATCACTACTGGAATGTGCAACAGCTTCGCTGATGGTGCTGGCTGCGGAGGGGGAAGGGAAAAGCAAAAATTCTCTTTGGGGAAAATGAACAGTCCTACAGCATACTTGTCCTTCGCTAGGGCCAGTCTAAGATTAGGATTCCTTTTAGGCTATCCGAAAGAACCCACCTATTCCCCAGTCCAGTTCTCAATACACTTTAATTTCAACTCTACCTCCTCCTGATCTTTCCACCCCCAAAAATCTGAGGTTTGGGGCTTTAAGTCCTCTTCAACCTGATTTACATGTTCTGAGACATTCACATTTCCTTAAGAGTGGACTGATCAAGTACAACAGTCTGTCACTTGAGGTCAGAGAGTCCTCTGTAACTGTTCTTAAAACAGGGATTAACTCTTTGACTAAGTCAACTCAAACTCGACCCACGAGAGTTATAGGAGGTTAAAAACAACCAGAAATAGTCAGAGACAATTACAGAGGGCTTTAAAAAGCCAACAAGCTCATCCTTCCCAACATGTGCTTTGCTCTAGAAACAAACAGTACTGTCTGATTTGCTAAGCAAATTTGAGTTTATCTGGACCTCACCAGCACAACAGCTTAAAGCTGAAAGGCTGAAGGAATTAGTACTTTCACTATTGCACTAACTGTTTTAATGATCGAGCTCCCCTTTACAAAGTTCATGTTTGCTCTCCTTAACACAAGCAAACAAAGCAAAATAGCCAAATAAGTAGTTAAATGATTTGCTAACAAATTTGAGTTTATCTGGACCTCACTAGCACAACAGCTTAAAGCTGAAAGGCTGAAGGAATTAGTACTTTCACTATTGCACTGTTTTAATGATCGAGCTCCCCTTTACAAAGTTCATGTTTGCTCTCCTTAACACAAGCAAACAAAGCAAAATAGCCAAATAAGTAGTTAAATTCATCAGTCACAAGAGTTTTATTAAGAATCGAGCATTATATACCGCTCCACAGGCTAAATAGCACTATAAAGGTATTTAGACATGTCATTTGCATAGCAAATGAAGAACGAACTAATGAGCATTTCTAACGACACAGGCAAGACCAAGATCACAACCGCTTACAAACACTACGGCACCCTCAACCTGCACCATACAAGAAGAGGTAACAATCTTACGCTGCCACCATTTAGTCCTATTAACGGTAACAACCTTACGCTGCCACCATTTAGTCCTATTAACTTAAAACAATGAAAAAGCAGTCTTAGTTTATTTAAAAAGTGAAGAAAAAGTTAACATTAGCATAATTCAAATGAGGGGAGTATTAAATTCTTGCTGTCAGAAAAACGCCTGCTTCAACCTCCAAGAAGAAATGGGGAAGCAGCGGCGGGGAAGGACGGGAAGCTCCTTTGCATGAACGTCCTCAGCTCCAGATAACACAGGCAGTTTTCAGACATTCACCAACAGGCCCGAGGACGTTTTTCTACTCAAAGTTGCCAGTCAAGATTTTACATCTCAAGCTATAAATTAAGTTTTAAAAGCTGCTCTGGACTGGGAGGTGCTGCAGCCATTGCATACACAGACTTGTGGCCACTAACTTTTCCTGGAACACCACAGGTGGGGTTTGAAGACAGCAGGAGAGTTTCTGACTCCGATCAAGCAGCATCCCACCCCAAAGAGCATTTTTAAAGACTTCTGAAGGCAAGTCTGGTTAAAAGACAATATTGCGGGTGAAAATTGGTAAGACCTTAATCCTTACTTCCCAGAGGATCCTTACTCTGCTTTACAGAGAACGTGCCTGCTACAGGTTTGGCTTTCCCCTTCACCTCATTCACCTCACCCGTTCCCATTCAAACCCTGTCTTACTACTTGAAGCCTCAAGAAAAAGACACTCCTCCTCCCCCAGTAGGGAGCTTCAATTTCAGGCTACATCAAAAGCGACCAAAAAAGTCTGCTGTTATTAAAGTACCTTTTGAAGGGCCATACTCAGTTATGATTTATTTGTAGCTAGCAGAAAGAGCTATCTGCTACCTGTCTGAACCTTTAAGCATATTTAGCAGCATTGGTTGCGAATAGGCAAACAAGCTCCTCCACTACACTCCTTTCCTGCACAGTGTCAGCAGACATATTTGCTTATATTGTCCACGGCGACATGCTGCACTGGGACAGCCTCGGTAAGTTTACGTTGACGCCGCTGCTGAAGTTTTATTTTATGAAAGCTGCAACAGCCAAGGCCCTGCTGGGTTATCAGAACAGCGAACAGTTCTGTAGGATCTCACTTGAGCTCGGTTCTAAACTCTTACAAGCTTCAGAATTTAAATGAACCAAAGACCAGGGATCTGACGGTGTGCCACAGTCACCGTGATGAAGCTTCAATGGCAGCAGTTCCTTTCCACCACCGCTGCCTCTCAAGGCTTTTACCTGGGTGCCTGCGGCAGAAGCGGTCCCCAATACCCAAGAACCAGAATATTACAGCGTTAAACAACCCCCGCTGCTCCCCTCACTCCACCCCGGTGCAGCCCAAAGACCGAGCCCCGGGTCGCTATTAGCGCTGCTTAGAGCGGGCAACAAAAACCCCCAGAAACAGCCCTGTTCGAGCCGCCCGGGTGCCCGGGTGCGGCAGAACCCGGC